AAGTACTTAACCTCGAGTGCAAAGATGGGGTTTAGAAAACCATCAGTTTCATGGGCCTTTTTTTTGTACTGTTGAGAGTAAGTCATCATTGAATAGTTAATACAGCTGTTCCGGCTTGATGTAAACTCAAGGTCAAACACAAGGGCAAAAGAGGTGGTATGATGATATTTTTTATGACTAATTTTTTTCAGTAGTAAAAAATACATTGTACATTTTAGCTCAAATATTTGTTGTTAGTACTTTTTGTATTGTATACCATTGACTTTAGCTTGCTTATTTCATCCTTAAACATGTAAGATGGACCAAAAAAATATGAGATGAAAATCTTTCTTTAGCCAAGTAATTATGGTTATGTAAGGTGCTTTAATACGACGTGACTGGGAATATCACTTTATCCAAAACACCTGTACAGTAATGTAATCGTTATTTAGCAATTAAGTATGACAAAGTTGCATGAAACCCTGAACAGATTAGAAATTTATGCAACTTTATCATGTTTTTGCTATGGCATCAGGACACGAAGTTGTAGCTAAACCTAATTCTATATAAACGTATAAATGAACACACAGATAGAGAGGTGTATATTATTCATACTATGCAAATTCAAGATGGTGAAAATAAAATATAAGACAGACAATTTTCAGTACCAATATTCAATTCAACAGGCACATTAAGTTTTTTTAAGAAAGGTTTTTCTGCTATAGGGTTATTTTATGCACAGTAAAAAATATTCTAACTTTCCGTGTCATAATCAACTCTCTTTGCTGAATTAAGTAGGTAACCGCGAAATATCTTGTTAGGAGGGCATTTCGCCATCGCTATCCATTTTGTTTCATTCCGGCTTATTTACAAAAAAAGCATGTTAATGAAGATGTATTGTAAGTTTATTTATAAAATGACGCTATACTTGGAACATGTAATAGGAATTCGGCCTGATATGGTATATACATATATTTCAGAATGTAATATTCACAATGACCGATATATAACTACGGCTTTCATTTTCTAATAACTAATTTCAGTGCGAATATTGAAATAATAAATAAGAGGGTTTATGATTTCTTACATCTTAAAAAGGATTACCAACAAATGTTTTGGACAACTTATAGCTATAATAACTATTTCCTTAGTGGAATTTCTTGCTTTCCTATGACCTTACGACTATCTACTAACTTAATATGTAGGTTAACTGTCAGATTCTAAATGCCATAGAATGTATTTCACTTCATTTGGGTCGTAATCATGACATTCTCTGCTTTGCTGTCATCTAATAAATGTAGTTTTATCTTCATTTTAAGATGCTGATTTATTGGTTTTATGAAATATGACGGTGAAATGTTTTAAAACCGGATGAATACTTCATGCAGATCCTATATTTTGCGACTGCATTTTACAATGTAGATATAACCAAATTTTTTTATTCTTGTCTAGAGAAATTATAAGTATGTTTCTATACAACTAGATATTTATAATTTATTCGGTGAATAATTTCAAAATTTCAAAATTCATATTTAACAAATATTTTCTATGCATACTAGAAATAATTTACAATTAATAATTACTTTATGCATAATTGATTCATCGAATGAGCTTTTGAATGATCAAAGTAACAATGAATACCCACGTGATAGTCTCGAGAAAACATTACAAATCAAAACTCAAACTAAATATTTGTAAACTCTTTCAGGTTGTTTTAGTTATATAAAAGTGCTTTTAACGTCTCACTCGCTGTTCTATAGTGGCAAGTACCGTACCCATCCTAGCGCTTAGATGTTGACTCTTGAAGACCAGTTATAGAGAGGTTCTTTATGCTAATATTAGTTAAGAAACGATCGACAAGGTGGCCATGAAAAAACTACATTCCTATATTTACACAGCTGGAGCCTACACGATATGTACTTTGGCTAACTTCTGTTCATTCATGTTTTAATACAAAAAATAAAATGTACCAGTAGAAATAATTTTTCACTAATCTCGAGCTGTTTATTTTCTTATTGAAAAACGATTCATTCAGGAAAACAACTTGAAATCCATTAATGATGGACTTCTGCCAGATTTAGTACGAAATTTATTTGTGCTTTACGATAATATATGAAAAATTGAGATATTTATTTTAACTAAGAAACTTATTGCATATCTTGTAATCGACTGAGAAAACATCTGTAAAAGAAAGTCTTCTATTTAACGTTTGATATAACTTTTAGACTAGTCCGATTTTCAGAAAATCTAACACCCTTAGGCATTTTTCAGTAAATCTTCTCAGACTGTTTTTCATAAATCATGTGGGAATGTTAAATCCATTTCTGCTATCTGCTAAGCTGGATCTCCATTTATTTATTTCTTTTTGTGCAAGGATGCACAACATATTTCTAGTCTTTTTGTATTCATAAGATTTATGGGATTATTGTATGTTACAGCAATTTTGCTGAAATTTATTTGCATTAGTGCCAAGAAAAAAATTAATTAAAACCATATTTGGAACATACTTTAAGAAAAAACTATCCGTCAACTTTTACTAAAAAATAACCGAACTTTCTTAAGTGGCACATTTTTCAGATTTTACACAAATCTATTATTGACATTCACCTAAAACTTGTTGGAGAAGGAGGAAAATGCCGCGCTATTTATATGAAAGCAACAATATACTGATATTTGTAACTGAATTAGTGTTGAACACAACATGCTTATTTTATTAGTTTCTGAGACCATATTATTTTTCAAAGTAATTTCTACGCCATCTCTTAACTGCCTTAAACTGGAATTTTTTTTAAACGCTCCCTTTTTTTGAGAGTTCATCCAAGAAACGTGTTATTGCTTTTTGGTTTTTGAAATTCACCTAAAGGTGCTCAAGGGATGGCTGTCCCTAATTTAAAAGAGACAGATTAGAGAGAAGGCAGCTAGTCAACACCGCCCACTGCCAACTCTTGGGCTATTCTTTTACCAACGAAAAGTGGGGTTAACCTTTACATTATAATGCCCCATGGTTAAAAGAACGAACATATTCTGTAACACGAATGGAACTCGCGAACCGTAGATTGCGAAAAGCTTTTGAAAGAATATGTGGTTTAATAAATTATTTTTTACGTGATAAGAATAAGAGTTTGTTCTTGCTGGTTAAAGCACCCCATTGGCACAGCGGTATGTCTGCGGACTTACAATGCTAGAAACCGGGTTTCGATACTCGTGGTGGGCAGAGCACAGATAGTCCATTGTGTAGCTTTGTGCATAACTTCAAACAAACAAACAAAACTTGCTGGTTAAAGCCCCCCATTGGCACAGCGGTATGTCTGCGGACTTACAATGCTAGAAACCGGGTTTCGATACTCGTGGTGGGCAGAGCACAGATAGTCCATTGTGTAGCTTTGTGCATAACATCAAACAAACAAACAAAACTTGCTGGTTAAAACGCCTAAAACTGGAAATTTGTGTAAAACATTATTTCCTTTATATGGTGCTTATTCATGGATCTTTTGCTCACTGATTTTGTACTCGTAAGTAATTTAATGGAAGGTGTTTTCAAGTATTTTTGTCCCTTTGTGACCCAAAGCCAAGCTTGAGGGCTTCTATAACTATAATTCGGAACTCGATCTCGCAGCGGAGACAGCGCAATAGTAGCGACGCTGACTGGTGGCAACAATTATCTGCCACCTCTAAAATTTTCATTTAAAAAAGTTTAGTAAATTGGTTGTTTGTTTTGAATTTCGCGCAAAGCTACACGAGGGCTATCTGCACTTGCCGTCCTTAATTTAGCAGTGGAAGACTAGAGGGAAGGCAGCTAGTCATCACCACCCATCGCCAACTCTTGGTCTACTCTCTTTTACAAATGGACTGTAACATTATAATGCCCCCACGGCTTAAAGGGCGAGCATGTTTGGTGTGACGGGGAATCGAACCCGCGAGTCGAGCGCCCTAACCTCCTGGCTATGCCGGGCCAGTTTAGTAAAAACTCTATCTCCAAACTTACAATGTTTTCAGTTACTAGGCAACCCTGCACAAGGAAAACCCCACCCAACAAAATATCATCCAATCTCTAATGAGCCTCTATAGCTTCTTAAGTTATCTTCAATAGGTTTCCTTCAGCTTATACTTTAAATAATTATAAAAAAGAGCCTTCGTCCCCTTAGCTCATTTCTTCGCATCTACTTTCGGAATCCTGGAGTCGGTACTTCAGTGTAAATATTACCTCGCGTATCTACTTTCATAATCCTGGAGTCGGTACTTCAGTGTAAATATTACCTCGCGTATCTACTTTCATAATCCTGGAGTCGGTACTTCAGTGTAAATATTACCTCGCGTATCTACTTTCATAATCCTGGAGTCGGTACTTCAGTGTAAATATTACCTCGCGTATCTACTTTCATAATCCTGGAGTCGGTACTGCATGGTAAATATTACCTTCTGTAATTTTGTGCCAGAACAAACCAATTATTTGTCTTCTTCTTTAACTATAATTAAAATGAACACACGGGAATATTAGTTCAGTTACATATTAGTTGAAATAGTCATTAGTTTTGGTATAGTTCATAAATGAATCAACAACTCTTCAATCTACTTTTTTTTCTGAGTAAAATGATTTATTCTATTTTTTGTCAGATTACAGCAAAATTTATTAAGTATTCATCACAAGGAATAATATTCAACATGATATTATTTCATTATCTTGTTTTATTATTATTATTATTCAACAAAGCTTGGGAACTTTTTAATTATTCAAAACCAAAAACTAACTATCTACATTGTGGATTTAGTTAATTATTTATTTGCTTATTCATAATTTCTTGGCAGCAGCATGGTTAAATTCGGAAACCTACTTAAACTTATGAAAAATAACACTTGTATTTTTAGTTTTAAGAGCTGTCAGTTAGCACTTTGGAGGCTTTATTCACATTCTGAAGAGATTGTTTTAAGTAAATGGCGTCAAAACTTTTAACCTCATGAAGTAACTAACGTGAATGATTATATATTTTCTATACATAAAACTTGCTATTTTTTACCGCTAGGTGTCATGTCAGGACGTCTCCAAAAGTCCAGCAAAACAGCTAGATGACTTCAAGCACGTGACTTTCCCCCACGTAACTGATGTCACTAACGGCCTTATCCGCTTCCACAAGTTATATCACGTATGCACAAAGCGCCACGTACAAATTAGACCCATAAAGAAGAAGAAAAGGAAGAAAAGACCCAAGAAAAAATGTGGACGATTTAAAGCTATAGGCAGGAGTGACGACAATTATAGTAAGTTATTACCTTGTGTCATTGAGGAAAAAGTAATCAGTTCACTGACCTTCATCGTTTTTTAAATATGTGTCAGTGAAACTTCCGATTCAAATATATGCAACATGAAGTTTTCTTTTTCATTTTTTCTTTGAATTTTACAGTTTTAGAAGTCATTAAAGTTTAGTTTCACTCGTTTATCACTAGGGGAGATAACGTTATGCCTCTGATAATGTTTCAATGTTTTTTATATTTTTGTTTGAGGTCAATGAAAAGAAAACGTTTGTATCAAGACTGTAAATTAATTAAAAAGACTGACAATATAGGATGTTCAGAAAATGCTCTACTCATCATCGTTTGTTTATCAGTAATATGTAGATTGCAGTGAGAGGATGCTGCTTTTCATTGATGGTTTGATGTAATATGACACATGAAGGTAATTATGTTTCCTTATTGACATTTTGACTGTCTATAATCAAAGGAAGAAATAAGAGGTGGGTAGAAAACTAATTAGCCACCAGGTAGTTAAAATTCTGTTAACAGTTAGTAAGAACAAAGTAAAGTGTTTAAGTGACAAATAGAAGAGACAAACAAGATGTACAAGAGAAAAACGTATATTTATGACATATAGATATATGTAACATAAAGGTAAAATGATATAACGAGGTGTCTTATATCTGTATTTGAGGATTACTGTTTCGGAATGGATAATATCAACAAACTTGTTGTATTGGTCCTTATTATCAAGTTTTGAAAAGGAGCCCCACCAAAATATTTGAGGAAAGATTGTTTGTTTTTGAAGTTAAGCACAAAGCTACACAATGGGCTATCTGCGCTCTGCCCACCACGGGTATCGAAACCCGGATTCTAGCGTTGTAAGTCCGCAGACATACCGCTGTGCTAGTGGGGTGCTTTTAGGAAAGTGTTTTAATAGTTTTTTATTAAACATAAACAATATCATTTGGTAAGATAAGTGATAAGGAGTATATATATATATATATATATATATGAATATTTGATGTTTAATTACACAAAATTATATGGGATAAAATACAGTAAAAGTTTTTCAGACAAAACCAGAAACTTTATTGTTTAAAAATGCAAACAATTTGGTAAGACGTTTTACGTTAATTATGTAATTAGTGTTGTTCTGTCAAACACAGTGGATTACGTTGTTCGATCCCTCTCTTTTAACATTTTATACTTTTGGATTTGCAAAGATAAACGATATGGAAGCAGCGCCCTATTTGTTTGCCCTTTTAATAAAGGTACAGCCCAAAGAAAGTTTTCGCACATGGATAGCAAGTGTCTATGTATCCGCGGTAGTAAAAGGAACTTAGAAAGTGTTTATAGATATATATATGTTAATTAATAGAAGGTAAACTTGCCACAGTTTTTAATTTCTTTACTTCAATTAGATCTAAGTTAAGAAAACAATACAAGTTCCATACGAACTTCACTCACAGGCGGACAGCAAGAAGACAGTCTCTAAATCCACATTACGTCATTACATAACAAGAGAAACGAAAATTACCAAATGCTTACTCTCCATAAGCTAGAATAAGACAATAAAATAAAATTATCCTTTATGCAGACTCAAACTACTTTGAACATACACTGAAACCTAGAGTTACAAAGTAAAATACAGTAACATACAAACATGACAGAGGAAAGTTAATTCCTGTACAATATAACTGCCTATGTTGTTTTATAGTAATCATCATATACAGGGAGGGCCAAAAGTGAATATATTGTTGTTTCATTCAGAACATAGTTTAATTTCTAACTATTATATTAAAACAAACGATAGTTAAATTAGTTTTAACTGTTTTCGTAATATTTTTTTAATATCAACCGTATGATACATACTGTATAGTAGCTCTTGCCCTAACCTGTACGTAGCGAACGGAACCGTACTAAAAACTCATATCAGGTTAAGATCAGGTTAAGACACAATGCGTAATCTCGAGCTTTACTAAAATTATTTTTATCGTCATGCAGTGTATATAAATGTTTCCATTATATAGACTACGGTCTCCCACTAACATACTAATCCTCACCATTAATCACTACCAGTTTACAGAAGTAAGTTTAGGATAGCATCCAGAAATAAAAAATAACAACCTATAACACAATAAAATAATTTCAGCTGTAACACGGGTTAAATCCTAAATATCATAGCTCACAACCAACGTAGTGATAGGGGAACCAAAATCAGTACTTTGAAACCAAGAGCACTTACTCATATTCAAAAACCTGTGTTAATTACTAAAATGATTCGATATTAAAATGTATCATTACAAGTGATTTTTTGAATTACTGGCGACATTACACACATGCACTTATACTTAAAATCTGAATAAGCACTATGTATTTGAATCTAATCAAAAATCACCTTAGGTGTGAATAAAAGGCGCGGCCAAAAAAGGATTGAACGTGTGACTTAAAGAAATGAAATCATGCCCCAACTTGAACTTACAACGCGGCCTAGCTAACTAAAGAATGAATACTAGCTGTGAAATTCTTATAAATGCTATAATTGTAGCTAACAGTTTGGCCACCAATTTTGATTTCATTCCTTTAAGTCGCACTCTCAATCTATTTTTGGCTGCATTTTTTTTTCACACTTAGGTATTTTTGATTAGATATCATGAAGTTTTGTCAATATACAGCAACAGACCACAGCAAGTAAGAAAGTGACACTCGATAGTAAACAACATTAATCTTAGGATCGTAACCATATTATTCGGAACAGACCTATATTTTACAGAACAAACCAGATTCTTTAAAATGTATGGTGGTAGTTTTTATCTGTAAAACAGTGTTAATAACTTCTTTATAGTAACGCCATGGAATCTAGATTAACAGTTTGTTGTCATCACCCGCATGTACTCGGTACAGCCTTATCAAACATCTTAATTATTTACGCTAATTACTTAAGCTAATATCATGTGACATTAAACACTCTTTAATTAGAATAATTTTATAAACTGTAGCAAATGTGATCTTAAAAGTTGGCAATGAATAATAACCATCTACCCGTTTGATTGTTTTGAAAACTTTAGCAAGAAACTGCTAATCTAGTTTGCTTGGCCTAACCAATACTTATGTACCTGCACGTACTTTCACCCTATAGTTTTGCTCTTCTAAATCACCCATCTTTAATCCGAATGACAAAAACTAAAATCGCTCCATTTTTACTCTTAGGTGAAGCTGTAATAAAAATTTAGACTGACAGCTCACATGACTTTTTGCTATTGTGTGCGCAAAAATTGTGATCAAAATTGAGCGGTTTTTGTTGAATAACGTTGCACATGTGACTTACATTTAGAGTAAATTTAGCAATTACTTGTAGTCTGTAAAGATCAATCACTGTACAAAATAAAAAAAAGCTATGAAATTTAAGTGTTTTTTCTATCAAATAAAATTCCCGTTCTTTCGGCGTGAAGAGAAAAAAAGGAAGAAACTCAATCAATATTGTGGCACTTCTCCTCTTTGCAGATGAAACGTTTTATTGTAGATTGCGGACTCGTTAAACATGTTTTCTAACCTGATGGTAGAATGACGCAATTTAATAGTTCATGTAGGCAGGGATGAGTTCATGATGTCACACGCGAATGAAGAATTCCTGCAATTCCAAGGGGCTTCTCGGTTTCTTCTCTTGCACTTTCTTACCCATCGCTTTCCAGCAGTTTTCGTTAGGGTTAAGATCTGGGCTGTTGGCTGGCCACCGTAGTGTCTTGATCCTCTCTCTTTGAAGATAATCCTTCACCTGAAACAATGAAATGAAACCCAATATTTTTTTAATTACATGTAGAGTGAAATTTCCTCTTTATTTCACGTCTACTAAATATATTGCATGAATATTACAAACCTTTTTAACCCTGTGGCATGGAGCAGAGTCATCCTAAAATGTTCACTGGTTAACTCCACTGATGTGATCCCGAACTGTTGACTTTAACCGGGACTCGGAGATCTCGATGTAAATGTCACCAATGATAGTACCTTTCACAAAATGCAGGCATCCCACACCCTGGCCAGAGATGCATCCCAATATTAGATCACTGTTACTGCATGCACGATCCAGTCTCCCAGCAAGACAGCCAAGAAAGAGATTCCATCCTCACCAACAAGATGAAGAAGATGATGCTCAATTGGGCCAAAGAGCCTGCTGACTGGACTAAAGCAAAGTGATCTTCTCAGATGAATCAGAGTTCAAACTGCTCGGGTCTGATGGGAAGCACTTTGTAGGACGTTGATGTGGAGAAGAATTTCACCCAGTGTGTTTCAATGCAACTGTGAAGCATCCACAGGGTCATTTCTGAAATTTACTGCCATGATCGTTTAAGCTCTGTGGATAACAGTTGACGATTCAACAGGTTCATGAATTTCAGAGAACAATCGTCAGCTGATGTGGAAGTTTTTTTTTCCTACACCCTTCCCTTCCACTGCTTCACATGGCTAGTCTTTGTACCTCTGCACCCAGTGGCTCACAGTAGACTAGTTATATTTAATTCTTCTAGCAATCTGCCTTGTAGAAATTCCGTCTTTGTTCAAAGAAACAATGACTGTTTTTTTTCTGTGCAGTTTACTCACAACCCTTGACCATGGTAGCATCACATGCACGTTGTAGGCTTATAAATTGACTCTAAGTAAGAATCTCTATCTCAAAAAAACAGCTGATGCGATACCTAGACAGCTTGAAAAGCTGCTGATGTACTAATTAGAAAGTATTGCATCATTCATGAAATACATTTGCATCTGCATGTATTAGGGCTTCTAAATAGACGATGATTCCGAAGAAATGTGTTAAAAACTGGGTGATGCAATAAATTTTTTCATCACTGTAGTCGAACTTAAAATAATATATGGTATTAAATTGATAGGAAGTGTAAAGAAACTTCCAGTTATTATGAATATAGATATATATTGACTTTCCATTTTACAAGGAGTTAAGTGATCTTCCAGACTTGGGAGTGACTTGAGCTGTAGATGTAAAATAGGTTAATACCATGATGTATCAGGTGATCCCTGAAGTGCTATAACTGACTGGGACAAGCACATTTGTAGTCAGTCTATCATATATGGGAAAAGGAAATGATACTGCAATATTCAAAAGAGGCATGATAGCGTGTGCATATCTAGTAACGAAAACAGTTTTATGGATAGACTACTTCAAGACATCGGTTTATCAGCAATGGAAAAGGTTGAATGAAATTCCCACTGTGAAGGGTAATTATGGTTGCAAACATGTAACGTCAAAAAAGGGTGAAAGGCGGCTAGATAAGATGTTCAAGTCCAAAGTTATCAGACAATATGTAAACTTACAGACGTTCAGTGCAGGGCAATTAACGCTCATCTCCAGCCATACCTTGAAAATAACTTTGTAATAAATGGACTGTGGTAGTAGACAACCATTGCATAAACCATTTTATTCAGTTGCCAGTAAGAAAAAAACAAATGAACATCCTTGAAAGACGAGTGTGCCATCAGCAACCTCTGCTTACCTCGCTCCATAAATTGTGTATTATATTAATGACTGAATAGGAAAACCTCTCAGAACATTTTCCAGCACCTTATGAATTCGATTCAGGTAAAAGGAGGCCCAACCCATTAGTAGGTATAGATCCTAACAAAGCGTCAGCCAGAAAATATCGGAAGCAGATTCGTTTTTATTTACTTTACTATTTGTATGGCTAGGGCACTCGACTCGCAATCTGAGGGTCGCGGGTTCGAATCCCCGTCACACCAAACATGCTCGCCCTTTCAGCCGTGGGGGCGTTATAATGTGACGGTTAATCCCACTATTCGTTGGTAAAAGATTAGCCCAAGAGTTGGCGGTGGCTGGTGATGACTAGCTGCCTTCCCTCTAGTCTTATACTGCTAAATTAGGGACGGCTAGCGCAGATAGCCCTCGTGTAGCTTTGCGCGAAATTCAAAACAAACAAACAAATACTATTTGTACTTAATATAGTATATCGGAATTAGATTTACTAAGTATATAGAGTTTAGTCTAGTAAATTTTCTTGATTTTTGCATTTTTTTTCTAATAATCCCATAATTACGGTCAACTAACAGTCCGTGTGAATTTCCTATAACATACCTAAATATAGGATATTAATAAATGCAATTTCATCTTGTTCTCCAAGAAACTATATAGCCTAGAACTGGCTTGAAAAAATTATGATTGCAACATTATAAGTATATATATGTAAATACAGTATGATAAGCTTCATGTGTTTTTGTTGTAACTACAGAAAGGTGACGAGGTTTTAAATATAAACACACACACACACACACACACACAAATATGTATATATATATATATATATGCACTAACACACACACATGTACACATTCTGGGTGCATATTCTAGCTTGTGAAGTAAGAGAAAAATTTAGTTATGTGAAATAATGGAGTTAATTGTACTTTGTAAGAATAATGTTCCAGGTCCCTGACTGACCTTGGGACTACTTACTTCCGATAATGAGGACAATGAACAATTGTCTGAAACCACTATTTCCTTTTTAACAATTTTCTGTGAAGGATGATAAGTCGATCTTTGGGTACATGGATACATTTTTAACAGATCCTTCACTGTATTTGGATAGTCGGAAACCAAAGCCAAAGAAAAGTCCATTGGAGCTCCATCAGGGCTGATTAAGCGAACATAATACACAAAGCAGCTATGTCTGTTAAACTGTCTGGACAAACTTTTTTGTATATAAAGTATGTTGGTATGAAAGTCATAAAAGAAACATTATTAGAAGCTATTTATGTTTTATGAAAAGTAGCGTCGAAAGAGCGTGCACTTTAACGTAAAGTTCATGTTTCATTATTGGTCTCTATTTTACAAACTAAATGTCATGTTCATGTTTTATATAAATCACTTATCCATTATTTGTAACATGTTAGTTGACTGCAATTATTCTTTGTGTATTTTAAGCACCTGTTTGATATTCGCATCACATGACTGTATAAAATACATTATAATGTAATATCAAGCAAGTCACGTGCAGTCTGTTTCATTGGGAGTCATGACAAGTACAGCGGATCTATCTCTAAAGAAATAACGCATCTTAAAGTTAGTGCGCAAGATTAATGATCTTCGCATTCTCCCTATTCGAATATTTACTGCCCTTTGAAACAAGTCTAATAGCGCCAGTCTAAGGAAGTCCTTTTCTCTTGTAGTGCTTTGTTGATCATACTTAGGAAAGTGTTTTTGCTGTACGTTCAATGTTAGCTGCAACTATTTATTCTGCTTGCGAAAACTAAGTATGTAGCATGTTATTTAAAAAAGTTCGATTAACAGATGATGTTCTAGTAAGATTTAAAAATGTATAAAGATATTAAAGCAGCTTATTAGTCGCACAAATAATTTAATGAAAATCAATTAGTTTTTGCCTAATCCAACAGTTGTGAACTCTGTCGAAGAACAAAACGAAGAGCAAGATAGTTCTGGATACTTTATCCATCAGAGGTGGTCCCTCATAAAAATCCAAAATGGAGTAGCTTTCTTCTTAACTGGAAATATACTATATTTAAGACTATGGTGAATATATTGTACCAGGCGTGGCTTAATGTTTATGTGACAGGCCATAGTTTGCCCCCCTTTCCCTCAAAATTGTTTTCTGAACTTTGTGGCCGTAGGTGTGTTGTATGATTGACAATGTAACCCTACTAGGTGATTACAGTAGCCCAAGAGTTCGCAATAGATGCTGGTGACAAGCTGCCTTTCATTCAGTGTATCGGGTAAAAATTATTGACGGTTAATTCTTATTTATCTTTGCACAAATATCCGAAAGTAAAACACAGGATGTAAACTCTGTTGAACGTTAAATCTTCCTTATAAACTTGTTTTGATGTGAATAACCCTTTGAATTATTACTTGTTTTTGTGTCTGTTCATCATTTTATCTTATTCTAAGTAAAGTGTGTATTAGTTCTCTTGATAATGTAAAAAAAATAATTAATTCTTATATTCCTGTCAATGTCTTTCCAGGGTGTTGAATTAATAATGTTTGATAAAACGTGTAATAATACGAATAGTAAGCAGTATTTGAAATTGTGACACGATTTAAATGTAGCATAATCAGTTTTATTTGTCAGTTTCTTATTAATGTATAATGTCTATTTCAACATAAAAAATGTAAAAATCATGAAAGTTGAACCTAAATGTTTCTTATTCATTGTTGTTTTAGTAACCCTAGTCTTCGAGTCGAAAACAATCAAAGGCAAAACGGGTTTTACTATTCGGGAGAATCGGACAAATCTCTATTTGTGCTTCAATAATAAAGGCAAACCAATAGCTATGGTAAGTTTATTAACTATATAATTAACCCTAAGGAATTTTTAATAATCTTTAAAACCACCATAAAACCAAAAAAAATCCCTCTGCAGGATAAATTGACATAATGGATAATCAAAGTTTCAAACAGTCTGTTTTGAAATACAGGGTGTTCATAAAGTCCTTCGGCTGCTTTGAATTGTGCTAGCTGGGAAACGGTACACCTTATGAAGGTGAAAACTAAGTGGGGACATAAATATCGAAAAGTGGGGAACATAAATATCAGGAAGTAGGAGAAAGATGAGCCGATAAAAATAAATCTGAAAATGTTGCCACCAGGTAGTATATTTCCACCCTACTGTTCATTGTATCCTTCCTGACTTTCAACTACAGCATCCATCAAAATAATGATGTTGAAAACAACCGATTAAAATATGTCCTGAGGAATCCAAGTGACTTCAATTTGGATTGCGTTCTGCGGTATCGGTATCGACTGAATATTATCTCGCTAAACAAGACACCTTGCGGTTATCCCATAACCAATAATCTCCCGAGTTGAGATTGTCGTCTCTTGTACAGCCGTACATACAAGTTATTGAAGTTAGCATCCCAATGATTTTAGCATTTCTTTTTACTTGATTGACTGTCCTCAGGTGGGTTAGCAGTAAGCTAAAATCCGGTGTTTGGTTTCCCGCAGTGGATAGGGTACACATAGCTCATTGTGCAGTTTGCACTAAAAAAATAACATGAATGATTTGACCAAATTATGACTACAGTTATGCCCCTGGCGACTGCATTATTAGTTTATTTTTTTTTTTTACTTTTACTGACTTGTCTGCCATTTGCTGATAATTAAGTTTTTACCTTCATATGTCGTATTTCCGTTTCCTGCCCCAGTGACCCAATGTAAGTCTCTGGACTTATTATGCTAAAAACTGAGTTTCGATACCCGTAATTGACACAGCAGAAATGGCCTAATGTGTAACTTTATGCTTAACAACAAACAAGCTTTCATTTCCCAGCTATGAAAAATCAAAGTGGCCAAAACACTTTGCAAACAAACAGTATATTCGCATATCTGTTAAGGCTGTTGCAGCTTTGCAATAAACAAATACTTTTTTGTGTTTGAGGTTTTCCTTGAACCAGTTATGCACGATTTCCACCTAAATAATAACCTTCAGTTCATTTCGTGAGAATTGTCAATGTAAGCTAATTTATGTTAACATTTATAAAACTATTAGTACTTTACATATATTAGCTTAGACACGTAATCACGTGAAAAATATGCTAAAAAATTTTACAATGAACTATTGTAGCAAACCACTTTTTATATATACTGTATTTAACGTCCACCATAAACTGATTTACGCGTATTTATGAAAACCTATCAGTTAGATCGTCTGAAATCTTAATATTCAAATGCGTAATGTAATTGGATTCTATTTCTGGGTCATATCCTAAAGGCGGGCAGCGTAACTCAGCCGGTTAGAGCTCTGGACTCGTAGCCTGATGGTTGCGAGTTCGAAGCTGGCCAACGCCATGGTGTTGTGTCCTTCAGCAGGACATTTTACCCCACTTGTTCCAGACTACCAAGTTGTATGATGGATGCCAGCTGTTTGTTGGGGATTAGCCTGCAATGGACTGGCATCTCGTCCACGGTAAATGGGTTAACATTCTCTTCCATTTGTGTTACTTGAAACCGAACTTCGGAAGGACCGGTACTATGTATCCTTCAAAGGCATGGCAAGGATTTGGTTTTTAGCATATCCTAAAAGGTGTTCAATGCTACCGGAACTGCACCAAAATTGCACTAACATATTACTGTGTCACATTTGTATAAATGACAGTTTGATTTTATTGTACCTGCGGAATATTCCAACGCAAATTAAAATCTGATTTTTAATTATACCTTGTTTTATAAACGTATCTCGAAAAAATTCAAGCATGGATATTATTGGTAAAATATATTCTAAGATTTGCTCAGTATAACAACACAAAGCTGCTTTTGTTTAATTGGTTATTTGTTGTTATCTCGGTCATATTTGCATTAATTATTTTTCTTCTTTTTTAGAAAAAAACAACAACTTTGTATTGTTTCATTAGAAATGTCTCTATTATTCACTTAGGTGGCTATGTATTGTATCTTTAAGCAATATTATACTGTTTTTTTAATGCTAAGCTGTCTCAAGGAACTATACCTTGATGCTTAAAGAAACGATACAAATTTCATTATTAATACAATACAAAACTGTTTAAAGAAGCAATGCAAAGTGGCCTAAGGAACCAACACAAGCTCTCCAAGGAACAAACACAAAGCTGATCAAGGTACAAGTGTAGTGCATTTCTAGACCAGGGTTAATGTGATCCCTCTTTACATGTGTTTAACGCACTTCTAAGATGATGGGAATATAATAATTTACGTGTGCGTGAGTATGTGGTGCACCTGTAAGGTGCGGATGAATGTAACCAGTTTCTACTTGTACTTGCATTTCAAAACAAATCAGTAACGATCCTTATTACAAGAAAACCATTAATAATCTCTATTTCATAATTAAAACAAGCCAGTAATAATGTGTATTTCATAATGAAAAAACCAGTGATAATCGGTATTTCACAATGAAAACAAACCTGTAATAATCTATACAAAAAGAAACTAATAATAATCTATATTCCATAATTACAACAAACTAGTAATAACTTGTATTTAATAATTACAACAAACTAGTAATAACTTGTATTTAATAATTAAAACAAACCAGTAATAATCTGTATTTAAAGCAGAGGTAGAAATTTTCCCCTTTAGTCGTGTACATTGACTGTAATATACCAATTAAAATTGACCATTTGACCTAGTTTTTCAGTTTTGATCATAAAGATAACATCATATCTATATAACTTTATCTCCTGATATCACGATGATATTATCTTAACATCAATAAATAATACAGACAACGATTGACTTCACACAATTAAAAACATTTTTATTGAGATCGATACATGGTCCTCAATAAAACTACTCTTGCTATTTTTGACTGTTTCCTATTCTCTTCAGTAGTGTAATTGTAAATATTGAGTACTTCAATTTATGACCTACAGATACATCACATAACGTATGTTTGTATTCACTCTTCGTATTACATCATTTTAACTACCACAAAAGTTCACGGCATCTATATAACGGTATTCTCCCATAAAATTACATGTTTTTTAAATATGTTCTGCTAAAGGTGAATTTCCAAGTTTCTTTTTCTTTCATTTAAACTTAATTTATCTTTTTATTGCTTATTTTTGACTACTCTCATTTATAGGTTTTTAATATCTGATTACATTTTGTTGTTTATTAAAACTTTGAAATATTCTAATGTTAAACCTGTAATATACGGTAATATGAAACATTCTTTTTTTAATCCTTTCATAAAATGATTTTAAGGTAATATCAGTACTACTGGTGCATAAATCTGATATCACAGTGATGGTGTAAAGTATGATGTATGTGATAATGGTTGTACAATGAATACTTTAATTTCTATTTGATAATTACCAATCAAAACAGAGCATCACGATAGTAGAATAGACATTTTAGTATGAATTGAAACATAAACGTATTTTAGAAAATGAAAAAAAGTAAAGTATGTTTATAATGAGATTATGATTTCATTATGTATGTATTTTAGTTTTAATCTTTTCTTATTATAATACTACAGGAAACAATATAACATGATAAAAAAATAATGGATGGTAAGGGCGTTATTTAACAGATACTATATAATAACAGATAATATAGTACTATAAAAATACAATAAATACGTTTAGATCATAGTTTGGCATATCGCCATGTAGTAGATGATTGTATGTTGTTACAATAGAGACGTTTGAGATTCTAGAGTATAGTAGAGAAAGAACCAGACTGTTTGTGTGCGGTCCTGTCAGACGTAAAACAGGAGATGACAAGAACATATTTCAGTAGACGCCAGATTAGTGGCAACTACCACCATGAGTTTGTTCTGTTGTCATCAATAGCTGATGTATCAAACTGAGCCGTACTTAAACTTGATGGCTCGTAAGCTCAAACGTTGCCGCTACTTTGAAGTCATTTTCATGACTCGTTTGTAGACATATAAAATACATGTACCTCTTCTCAATCCTGATCGAGGTTGTGGGTTTTGATGCTTTTTACTCACCGCAAAGTTGTGTGCTTCCTAAGATGTATTTTCGTTTACGACTTATCACTGACTAACGTTATTGTGTTTTTTTTTTTTGAAAATTTAATATGAACGTATTGATGTAAGATAAGCATGTAATTAACATGTTTTTAACCTGCTATTAAATATATTTTGTTAATATGTCATTAAATTTATTTTTGACAACCACTTGTTGATTTGTTAAAGTAAGCTGTTCGATTTTTAAAAATGATGTTTAAATGTATTTTGAAACTGTAATTTGTCGTGGATTATATTTTAAGTGTTTTTAAATTTATGTTTACTTATATTTATAAAATGCTTATTAGTGTTAAACTTATTTTCAGATTTTAGAGTGAAAGTCTTAAACTATCACACTAGGTGGTATAATTTGTTGTGGTCTTATTTCATTTAAGTTCGCAGATTTTTAATATTTCAAGATGAAACAAAACGTAAAATACTGGGAAATTTTACGTACGATTAGTGATAATTCGAGGGCTGTATTCTTAGCTCTCCCAGTGAAAACTTCTTTAGTAGCTTTTCAAGTTTATTTTGAATTTTCTAAGATTTATTTGTTTATGACGCCCCTAAAAAGGTTTTACTCATAAGTAAATGAATATACAGGAATTTTCTTGAAACAATAAAACTTATTTGCATTGCGCCATTTTAGCTTTATAAGGACTTCCAGCCAAACTTATCTGGGCCTAATCACATAAGGAGAAAATTCTGACTAATTTGTGTTTGTTGTAGGCATTTCATCAGGTCATAATTAGTTTTTCCTGACTTATTTGTGACTTTGCAGTTCGTATTCATCATATCTTGTGACTTGACAAAGGTAATTTGTACAGTACAACAACATAAGAATAATTATAATTTTTGTTTACAGCGGGTTGATAACTCCAACCGTTAATGTACACAAAGTAATAGATAAGTTTATGAAGCCAAAATTTGGGAAACAAATAAACTTCACTCGTTCTGATGTTCACCAAGCAAGATCCTTTGAGTAATGTTTATCTCTAAATTTTTGTCATGGAGGGCGTCAGTAGAGTAAGGGTGTTCGGCATATAATTAGAAGGACCTTTATTGTGACAGCTTTATATAAACATGTATATTCTGCAATAATATTTTGTTCCTTCACCTTTAACCGTTATGCATCTGTAAAAAAATTAACTAAGCCCATAAACATTAACATTTATGTAGTAAAGATGTTACAGTGTTTAAATTACGCACATAAAAATAGCTTCTATTGTTACTCATCATAATTCAGAAAAGTGTATAGCTTAATGTGAAAACAAATGATAGAATATTTGTACGAACTATCACAGAATCTAAAATAACAGTTTTGACTATCAATTCTATATAAGCGCATGTTACATAAAATTAAAAAATCTTTAACAACTTTACTAAATATGATGTGAGTGTAGACTAAACACATTTGATGTTTGGATAACGAACTTGAACATATCTCATTCTAGAAATATAATTTTAACTCTGAGAGAGAGTGTATTTGTTGTTGATCGAAGTGTACTGAGTATTTTAACAGGCTATACCTTTCAAAAAGCTCGCATTGTTTACAGTTTTTCTTTCTTTTCCAACCTAATAGTGCAGCGGTGATCGTCTTCGCTGTTTGTTTGAAGAAATACTGGAACAGGACTTCTCCATATTTCGGTCCATTCGAAAATCAAAAAAGTGGTACTTAGGCTTCAATAAACAGGGCAAACCATTACCTAGTAAGAAGTTTCGGCGGAAGCGTTTGAGGAGGTGCTTTAGGTTTCTGAAACGGGATAATGGTTTCTCTAGCATCCCTGATATTTCCGTCAGTGGACCTTTTCTAGGAAACAACACCGATTTTTTACATAAACTAGCAGGTGACACTCTTGGTGGGCAGTTGTGGTCACAGACGCGTAGAAAACACCGCTTGAACCCGAGTTAAAAAACAAAAGAACACTTGTGGTTCCATTGGGTTACAATAAAGTCGTCGGTTTATGATGATCAGGCTAGAAATACATTAGTAATGCCTATATTCACTCGATACGATCCTGATAAAGTGGTGCTTACCAGATGACTCTGTGTGACTGGGTTGATTACGTGCTGCTACTTTATTTTCGAATAGAAAATATTCTGTTTCACATTCCAAAAGTGTCGCGAAAAATGTGACAAAGAGTTCATTAATGTACAGATTTCCGGAATACCCAGCATAAAACTGTGAAAACTGGTTGTAGATATTGTTAGAGCATTTTGAAAGAAACTTAACACCTTCAGGAGCCAAAGGCGACGAACAAATTCGTCTGATTTACGTCCGTTGAGACGAGACGATTAGTGTAAAGGGTGAATTACAAAGCGGTTAGGCTGTACGACGGTAAAAAGACTGATTGAAGCATTCAGAGCTTTACTGAGGAAACATATGAGTCATTCTTCATCTGAAGGTTCCACCAAATACGATAATAGTGACCTCTGTTGATGGCCAGTTTGGATCCTTTGGTCTTATATTTATAAGATTTATTGGAACAGTGGAACCTTTTCTTTCAAGTTTTATCATAAAAAATATCTCATAATCTTGGCAGTTTCGGATTTCTAAGGCCATTCGCTAAAACTTCTCGTTTCATCTCCATTATTACCGAGAGAGCGAGTTCTTGAGAAGTTGAACTTTTAAATTACAAGAGAGAGTCTAACTTAATGTAGCTTTTGTTAAAAGCACGTTATATAGATACTATCATCACTCTGAAGTTGAAGTTACAAATGAACGCGGTCATACACTGTATTTCTATAATCATGGTATAGTCTCTTATTACTTGTTATGTTTTCACAACCATTTTATAGTCTACCATTATCTTATCAACAGTCTCGCTACAGGCTGTTAGTGCTGTAACGCTACCATAGTTTGGTTGAAGTCCGTTAGCACTGTAACATGATTCCAATCATACTTAAATCACCAGGAAATGTCTATTGTAACAAGTTTAGAGTTACTTTCCTTTAAAAGAAGTAACTAAAACAAAATGTGAAGATGTTGATATTATAGATAAGAAAAGCCAATAATTTCGGACATTAGTATCATATAGTTATTTGACGTTAAAAATCATGTTATCTAAAGTTACAGGTTGATAATATTATGATCAGAGAGATATTCTCATGAAAAAAAAAAGATAACTGTTTTCGGGTCATAGCGTGGTAAGTTTAATCTAACGCCGTTGTGTAGTATTCAGTACTTTATGTTCTCAGGTTCCACGTTGTTAATATCGTAAAGTTAAATAATAATTAGTATATCATCGATTAAACACATACATCAGCTAAAGTAAAAGTGATAAAACTACCCAATGTTTTAACGATTGTTGGTCGTCGAGTAGTTTTAACATTTATGTTTGCTAGTGTACATTTTTAATCGACTATATAGTTTTATAGTCCCAGTGATTCATACTTACCAGCAATTAGTATGCCGTACCACAAGTTATACAACTTCTTAAAGTCATAAATTTACTTTGGTATAATCAAGAACTATATTGGTAATAAGATTACATAGCTTATTAATACCGTCAGCTAATAGCTTGTTTGCTCCGACAAGAACCAGATTGCCGGTGATTCCAGGACACGCAAACTTTCAATTCCATCAACTTATACATTGTCGTTGTTACCATATTAACGGAAATTTTTATTCCATCAATTATTAGCTTCTTAGTATCATCTAGCAACATATTGTTAGTATTATGAGGCTACACATTTCCGTAGTGCCATCATTTTATAGCTTGTTAGTACCACCTAGAAACAAATTGTCGGTGTTACAGGCTAGATAAGTATTTCGTGCCATTCGGCCCTAATAATTGACATTTAAACGACACTTAAAACTTGAAAAAAGATTACAACAACGCTAATAAACATATAGAAATGACATACTGTAGCGTGATTACACAAAAATCCGACAATCAAATAGTAAAATCAAGGTATAAATTGTTAGCGGTAGGAAATTGCATATTTGTAACACTAACAACCGGTTTCCAGGTGAAACTACGTGGCAAACCACTAAGAATTTTTAATCTGCCAAACACTGCTGGTTTGTTTCTTATAATATTAAAGAACTATATACCGATGGCACTAAAAACCCTCATAACATTGATAGTATATATATCTTAGCGATACTAAGAAGATATCAAATTCACATTACAGGATGCTTCTGGTGGTTGTGTTTTATTGTCTTTCTTGGTCCCGCTACATTAAAGATTAGTAGTGTTGTTTGGTCTTTGAATGCTGATGGCATTACATTTCAGAATAATGCTATTCGTTTGTTAGTGCTATTACTTCATAGGTTGATAGTGTTCTTCGGTTGTGCCATTCCGTTTCCGGGTTTACTAGTCTACAAATTGATGTACTTTTAGTTCTAATAATTACATTATCTCAGATATGTTTAAGATCTGCACTATTATTTCTTTTGGGTTACAGTGTATTGGACATTTGCACTGTAAATTTCTGTGTTAGGGTAAGTACTTTATAAAACATAATAAACTATATTAAATATACGGGCATTTTTATTCTGGTCATAATAACCAAACTGACTACGATATATGTTTAGAATGAAATAGAATATTATTTCTTCTAGGCCGACCATAACATATTTTTGGTTTTTAACCTTAATTTATACACCAGTATTCATCACCTGTGATAATCCGATTAAGGAATGCATAGTCTTCGACGTAGTATCGATACTTTAATTCACTGCAGGTGTCAAATATACCCCGTTTTTTTATTGTACCTTAATTGAATACTGATATCGAATTCATGGATATGTAATATTCGTCTGTTATTTTTTAATATCTTGTTTACTCTCTCTGTCGTTTCGTTGTTTTTTGCCGTTTGAGGGTGTAATAAATTTCAAAAACATCTGATCATAGTTTGGCCAGTCTTGAGCCTTGTGAGCCACACATACTTCACTATGATTATGATTACAGCATGATGCTCAAAATTTAAAAATAATGACATTCGCAATTACCATTCTGTAGTTGTACATCGCGTCACCTATCGTAGAAATTTGTAACATACCAAGTCGTTGGCAGTGGACGGATATTGACGTATTGAACATTACTTGTATGTTTCAGAGTATTTGCATTCGTTTTAAATGTAAAATGTGTATCTTTTGGATTGTGTAACATTTGCAGTTATTCCTGTATATTTCTAAGAGTGTGATATTAACGTAAAGGAACATAACATTTGATGTGAAATTCTTAACAACTTTTTTATCTTTCTTCTTCCCTTTTGTACGAAGTGTGTAACTAAATGTAAACCTCAATATCATCTATGTACTCTAGTGACTCTTGCAAGAAACTCTAGGCAGTAGCTTTGTCAAAGGTCAGATTTTAAGGAATTAAACTGTGTTGTACAAGACAACGTATAAACTATTTTCGTGTTCACGAGGTTACACAGTTTACAGGTGTAAAATCTGTGCATCGTGTATGTGTTCCCGAAAACCAGACTCTTTTTAAACACTTGCAACATAGCTGCAAGAGACAAGCCGTTCCCACATTCACTAAATAATTCTAGACGCTCAGCTATTATTAAAAAGGAGAAAAACCGAGAAAAGAAAAGGTAAACATAAAATAATGCAGTGAAAACAATGAATATAAACACTCGAGGGAATAAATTGTAGAAATTACAATTCACTAAAATCACTGCGCCTGGGCAACTTTCAAGAAATCCTACTCAAGGCTAGTCCTTCCCCTCTAATAACTTTGCAATGCTGTACTGTTACTGCCTGAAGACAGTGCTGTTAGCATAATGAAAATAATGTTTATATGTCACGTATTAAAATTAACCTTATCCGAAGAGGTTTTATTACATATTTAACTGATACCATTAACTCTATGTTAGATAATTCTGCAACTTTTTGATTTGCAGCGTAAGCTATTTTTTTACTTAATATTTTTCAACTGATTCTCCCAATTAAACAAGTAATTTTTAATCAATAGCTTCACTTGTCTTCCAAAGCTTCCCATCTAACTTGCACAGAGTTTTTTTATTAAGCGCTGATCACAAACGGACGTTTTTTTTAAAACTATCTACAAAGGGGCTAAGCAAAACAGGTTAACCCTTATACGATTGTTATGATTTATGAGGAGAATTTTATAAAGTTTTATGTATTTAATGCCTTAGTGTTGAGATAATGTCTACCTCTTTTAATAATTATAATTGCCTTTATCGAATAATAGTTCGTCTAGTGAAACTTGTGTAATTTAAAAAAATATGATGTATAAAAATATTGTTAAAAATCAAATATAAGCAATAATTGATAAAGTACATCGTCCTATGCGTTTGCAAATTAGTAGAACAACTGTGGAGCTTGTTATATCAATATGTGAATAGCGACTTTATCCTATAGGCTTTATATATGTTTCATCAGAATAATACTGTAGTACACTGTTAGCTAAAAAAAAATATTAGGTAATCTATTTCCATTAGTTGTCGTTGTAAAATACGCCATTGTCACACTAAACTCATATACACTTGTATTCAGTATGAGGATTCTCGACCATTCAGTTGATTTTTGATAGAAACTGTCCGCTTCCTTCTTTTATTCACCCCCTCCACACACACACATACACGTGCATTTATTCTAAGAACACAATAGTGTTTCTCTAAA